AAAACCACCAATCTTCCATAGGAAAACTGACAATCCTAGTCAATTAAGATTGGAGTCGAGTGCACCCGCATGAGCGGGTTCGAACTCACAACCTCAGTGTTGACTGGCTAGTGATTAGACCTTTATTTCAAGGGAACGTACTATAAAAATAAGAAGATGTGGTATGATTACCAATGAGACAACTCTCCACAAGAGACCAAATGACACAGAAATTAGCAACTATAGGTCACTGTACGGCCTTCAACAATGAGCAAAGCCCATATCGCATAACACACTTTGGTCATTCCATTTCCTGAGAATTAATGGCCATGGTCAGCTCTTGGTAAAAGTAAAACTTTCAGTCAATAGAATTTAAAATAAACTAAACTGAATTTGGGGAAAGCAGCTACATGAAGAAAAAATGTGGAAAAGCATCAAATTTCTATTATTTTAATTATACACTTGGGTTGGCCATGATGCTACATCGACCATTGGAATATCAGTAGGTGCTTTAGTTGTTAAGAAGCATTATATTGTTACATTCAATGTTTTTGTTTTCTTATTTTAAAACTTCAATGCACAACTTAAGATTTTAATTATGAAAGTTTGCAAAATATCAATGTAAAGTTTAAACAAATTTGATTTAATGTAAAAATAAGAAGATGTGGTATGATTGCCAATGAGACAACTTACTCTCCACAAGAGACCAAATGACATAGAAGTTAACAACTATAGGTCACCGTACGGCCTTCAACAATGAGCAATACCCATAAGTCTTTCTTTATCATTGTCTATCCTTTTGATATCCAATGATCAATATGAATATATTTACTTAGGAATGTTAAAGTTTACATTGAATTGATTTAATTAACTTCATATCAAATCTACTAGAATTTATTTCAAGATATAATTAGGTTCTGTCTGAAAAGTTAGAATCAAGATAACATTTATTGGAAGCTTTTAACTTAAGACCAAAGTTGTTTATGAGAATGAAAAACATGCCAATAAAAAAAAATTGGCAAACTATAACTTTCAGTAAATAAACTTTACAAAAAGTGCAAGGTTGGTTAAGATTATTACATGTACAAACACACAAGAACCCTACATGACATACAACATTCTCTGGGTGGGTTTACCACATCCTCATTTATCTGTGTTTTCTAGTTTAAATTCATATATTTCAAGGAAATTTAACCCAATCACAAAGTTTGTTTGTGGTCAGTAAATAATCACGGTGTTTAACCCCAAAACCTTAGTGACAGGTGTGGGTGGTTAGAAGAAAGAGAAAACCAGCAGGTCACGTTTCTGTTAAGTGCAAGGTCAGCCAGTAACTTTCCAAAATGTAGACATCTGGAAAATTGAAACCTCAACTTCTGCATAATCTAATGTTGTCCATTTTTTTCTGACAAGTTAAAATGGTAGTTAATGTTTATATAGTACTCATGCATAGTCATGATAAAATAGAATTTACATTACCAAAAGTCATAAGCTAGCTTCTTAAATTTGACAAGGAACTCAGGATTTTATTAGGCTGTTTCGGGGATGATTCGACTGATCAAAAGAATATATTTACTTTAATAGGCATGTTAAAGTTTACATTAAATTGATTAATTAACATGATTAACTTCAAATTAAATCTACTAGAATTTTTTAAAAGCTTTATGTGGGTTTTGTCAGAATAGGTAGAATCATGATAACAATTTGTCGAAAGCTTTTTACTTTAGACCAAAGTATTTTATGAGAATGAAAAACAAATTGGCACACTTTAACTTTCAGTAAATAAACTTTATAAAAAGTGCAAGGCACTGGTTAAGAGTATTACATGTACAAATAAGAACCCTACATGACATACAACATTCTCTGGGTGGGTTTACCACATTCTCGTTCATCTGTATTTTTAATTTGAAGTCATAAATTTTAATCATATTTAATCCAATCACAAAGTTTGTTTATGGTCAGTATAAAGGTGTTTAACCTTAAAGCCTATTGATAGGTGTGGGTGGTTAAAAGAAAGAGAAAACCCACAGGTACATTACAGGTACATTACAATCTGGTAAGTACTAGGTGAGCCAAACTTTTTAAAATGTAGACTTCTGGCAAATTGAAATCTCAACTTCTGAATTCTTATGTTGTCATTATTTTTCTGAAAAGTTAAAATGAATAAATCCATGCTTTCCAAAGTACTCATAGTCATGATAAGGTACAATTTACATTCCCAAAAGTCACATGCTTCTTAAATTCGACAAGGAACTCAGGGTTTTATCAGGGTGTTTTGAGGATGTTCCTTTTAATGCCATTTTGGAAAGTTTTATGCCAAAATTTGATTGGTCATTTAGAAACAAAATAAGGGGGAAAAGTTGAATTAATTCTCATTCGATATTCTAAGAAAATCCATGAAATTTAGTAGACACTCAATATCTGCCTATTTATGAATGAGACAGCAACCCAACATATTAACAAGAAGCTTTGGTCAATGCTTTAACTCACCAATAAAATTACAAATCGGCAAAAGAAGCATTCCATTATGAAATATAAAAGCTGCTACAAGTGGGATGACTGAAATGAATCCTTTTTAGTCAATTTAATAATTCTAACTTAAAATGAGCAATGCAATTGTTGAAACATGATAAGCAGAGTTAAAGTAAACTAAAAACTGCTCAAAAATGCTAGGAACATATTGATATTTCTATTTAGAACCCAAGTGTGCAATACTGAACATCTGTCATGCAATGTCAAGTATCATGTGATAACAATTTGGATATATAAATCTATTGATTGTTTACCTTTTACCTTATATTAAAATAAAAATAAATTTGATGACATGGCAATGCACTTTCTGAATAAATATTTACAATCATTTTTATATTACGCATTTGATGAATATATAATGAGTTTGAAGTCAGTTAAACGTAAACAAACAACACTGTCACATGACTGATGTGTAAATTATATCACGTAGTCACAGTACCTGATTAAATAAGAACTATTTTTTATTCATACATGCAATAAAATATAAGTTAGACCATAATAATTTTGGTTAATTTAAATTACTGTAGTCATGATAGACATTTAGCTTTTGTGACAATCCTTTATATAGACTAACTTATTTTTAAACGAAATTGTCAAGTAAAGAAAAATCAACAATCACAGGAAGATCATTTGAAGTGTTTGGGTATACAGATACATGTACTTGTATGATATGAACAGTCACATGGATAATGACTCAAAGTTTAAGCTTTTTGTGTCATGAAATCTTTCAGCCCTATGTCAAAAGTTTCACAATATCATATATTGAAAGGAAAAGGAGATTATATAATATTAAAAAAAAAAACCAACACCATTGCAACAATAGCAATATTGTGTTAACTTTAGGACAATTAATAATAGTAACATAGTTGACAACTAAAATTTCCTGTCAATTTTGTTAAAGGACACACACATAACAATGCATAAGGATATTACATGTACCGGTAATAGATAAATTGTCTACAGAAAAAGAGACATAATAATTGTGTTATTTTTTTCAAAGAAAGATGTTCTTTAAGATTTAGATTCCCAATAATTACAGACTTATGAAATTTGAAATTTTTTGCCTCCTTAGTTTTTCAGGTTTGAAATTAAACCATGATGTTCAAGAATTATTTTTTTAAGCATAAAATTGTTCCATTATCATGATTATTTCTTTGACATGTTTTATGATTTCCGTTAAGTTTAAAATCTCGACTACCAAAATTTCATATCTCTCCACTATCATGACTATCAAAGTTTCAAATTTGTTACTTATCCATGTACAGTACTGTAAATCAAAACTTTAATTTTTCAGGGTTTTTAAAATGATAATCCCTCATCTGACAAGATCTTTTTCTGGTATCATTGGTTCTATGTCTATACATGTATGTCAAACTTAAACAGTAGATTGGCTGAGTGATGTGTACCAATCTCAAGTCACCTAGAAAACATTTAGTACATGTATCTTAATAATCCCTCAAGATGTTAGATCACAAGAAATGTATGTATAATGTCCAAGGGCCATTTTGATAAAACAGTTCTAAAATCAACAATTATATATCATATATGTATCAAAAAGATTAAAAGTGATGATAAAATAACTGTAAACTATGTTGTAGATCTAAAGGGTATTGGAAAATATTGATGTGCAAACTTGAGAAAATGTCAATTTTTCATCTCCATGTACATGTACATGATGTACAATGTCAGACAACATAATTCATGGTGCATTTTATGTAAAGATACTCTTTCAGTTTTTATCTGATATATCTCAACCTTGCAAGCATTGAATGAGTTAAGATAGGGTACATTTGTACCACAAATTGAAGTCAAATATTTTAATACTTTTATACATGCATCCATCAAAATAAGAACGCAATATATCAATTGTTTAAATCTCATTCAATGTATAGAAATAATCTGGTATGGTAGAATAGACCATTGCCTGTTTTAAGTTGTATTCAAATCTCTGTTACGTAATAGCTGTACATGTATATGAAAATGAGATACAACAGGTTATCATAAAAGAATCTTAGACTATATACACCATATAATTCCTTGTTTAGGGAATCTTGCATCTCAGCTTTATTATTTATAGAACCATTCTTTCATTACAGATTCAGTCATCAATTCATTAATATTCATGATATTCAGATGTCTTCTCGACTTGTCTAACTAAATTGCTATAACATTATACCTGATGTAATATTGTCCCAGTGTCTCACTCTCTTGACAGGACTACATGTGTCAGAGTACTATCCAGTTTTATATTTTGTTGTGAGGTTTATCCCTGAATGTCAATGTATGTTAAGCATCATGACCTGACCCTTTATCCAAAGTACTCTTTGTCATCTATTTTCTGACATACATTTAAGAGCCTCAAGAAAACAACCAACAAATTATACAGATATTGAATCATCTAAAATTGATGAAACTGTATACTAATATAAATACATGTATATATAAGAATATATTTAAAGATATCTACATGAACATGATAAAATATTGCCTACCTGAAGGGGAATGACTAGCTGAAGAGTTGTCGCCACCTGATGATGTAGAAAGTGTTTCTAAATTGTTGGATGCCTTATCAGCAGGATCCACAGAATTGTCAGACTTTCTAAATTCAGTCACATTGTCATAAAGATCCTCTTCATTTTCTTCAGAATCTGGCGAGTCATCTGTTACAGTTTGTGATCGCGTCAAAATGAAATCCAAAGATATATTTTCATAGTCATTTCTACTTTGTCGTCTTTTTTGTAAATTTGGTTGACTTTCTATTTGACTGATTTCCATGCTTGGTTTTCTTTCAGGTAATCCAGGTGGTTTGTCACTTAATGTTTTGACATTTCGTAAATGATTACTCTGGACATGATGTTTAACATTTTTTCCCTCTGTGTCCACTGCTAGGTTAGTTGATTCACATTCATGACTAATTTTTTTAAACGAGGTCGCTACAACTTTTTCCTCACTATCTCTGTTACTTTTTTTCCGTATTTTTCTCATATTTTCATTATCTGCCTCCAAATCACTGTTATCAGGTTTTATTTTAATCTGTCCATTTCCTGAGGATAATCCTGTCGTGTCTTCCTCTCTGTGATTTTTTATTTCATAATCATGATCGTTGTTTAAAACATCGTCCAAATCGGTTTCCTTAATTTTACTGTTACCTTTGAAAGTACTAAAGGTAGAATTTTCACCGACAATATGTATAGTGCTTTTGAAAATTGGTCCATTGACACACTGAATAGGAGTTATAACATCTATTCCATGATCTGAGTCATGTGATTTGTCTTTCCGTGGAGGTACAGCTGGTTTATGATGATTTTTAGGTCCCAAAAATTTCCTTGGCAGTGGATCACTTTTTGGTGCCACTTGATTTTCATGTGCAGTATTCCACTTTGGGTTATATTTCTGTTTTAAATCCTGAACACTGTTATGCAGAGTGTCATCTACTGACTCATGGCTGTCAAAATTTGTCTTATCACATATTTGTGTAGTTAATAGTTCAGGAGGACTAGCTAATTCATTTTCCACTAATACATGTCCATTGGTTGATCCATCAGGATGCTCTATTACTTCGTTATCTTTTATTATGTTTGAACAGTTATCCTCATCAATATTACTTTCTAGTACAAGTCCTGCATTCAAAGTTACAGTTGATTTTACACATTTTTCCAGCGCATCATCTATACCATTAGTTATAAGCTTGCTAGAGCTACTGTTATAATGTCTTTCACCTCCGTCATTATCAGCAGTTAATTTCCCTTGTAAAAATCTTTCAATAAATTCACATTGTTCTAATTGACTTTTCAATTTATCTGATTTTGTTCTTGTTGCATTATATAACTTTTGTAAAATCTCCCGAGGCCTTTTACATGAATAATTATCTGAACTAAGATCACTTTGTAACAGCGGTGCACTAACAGAAGGAAATTTTTCTTTCCATTCAATATCAAATATCCCTTGTATTTCATCCATATTTTAAAACAGCTGTTTCAAACGATTGTTTACCTGTTAACTACATGTGTTGATATCTATACTGAATACACAAAACTGCTTACTTCAATCAACATGTTTATATTATCCACTCGGAATACATAACTTCCGGGGTTATTATCGTATACTAACAACTCGTTCCGTCGCTCTACCTTTTATATCCGAATACACATTGAGTTTATCTATTTTGGGAATCCCTAATCCATTGATTTTCACAAATTTGTTTTTTCGCAGCAATTCACTTGGATATATTGTTTTTTGCAAAACACACCTTTTCTAGTGAATTATGATATATATACGTGTTTATATATGACATGTTTTTGGAGTTTAAAGAAATATGACATATATAGGCCCATATAGTCACATATACCTACAATTTTACGCAACGATATTAATGATATATATTATAAGAAAATAAAATCGGCAAGGGTTCCACGGTGCGTCTCGCCTTCCGCAGATTGCTGCAGTCGTAACTGTCAGAAAACACTATGTCCTTCATCAGTAAAATTAAACGAAAATTTAAAAAAATAAAATAAAAAATTGAAGGGTGTCATCTATTATAATCTCTTGGTTATTTACGAGGAAGCTTCTGTCTGGGTTTTGCAAAATGCAATAAAGATTTGACAAGTTATTCAAGCTATAAAATCTTTTAAACACAGCCTAAGATAAATAATTTGTAACTTGGTCTTCACTGGAAGAAAAAAAAACACCCAAAAAAACCCAAAACCCCAAAAAACTAAATCGGTCAATTCATAAGTAAAATTTGGAAAAATAGTGAAACAATATTCTAGCTAGTTGGTATCTCTTGATTATTCAGAAGCTTTTGTAACAATTTCTTGAAATTTTAGGGATAAGTTTTGTAAAGTGTATTGATGCTTTACAAACTTTCTCTCGACTATCTAAATGGTATAATTAACTCTAAAAAAAGTCAATTACTCAGTAAAATACAGAAAAGTTAAAAAAGTCTAAAGATGATTATAGGACTATGATAAATACTAAAACAAATGGTGTATTTTTAGAGCTTTAGATGGCCTTTTTTAAAAAAATATTTCTATACATTTTCTATCATTATAGAGCAAACAGGATTAGTGTTACAAGCCGTTATCGCAATTTTCTCAATTTAAAACGAAAGTAAGACAAAATATATTTACATAATAGCGCTTTTAATGCTGTGCTTCATCTCAAACTCACAGTGAGACCTTCCACAAGTAGAAAAAACTCTCACCTCATTGCAAGTTTAAGACGCCCCCTAGCGCCGGTTTGACTATTTAAGATGATATAGTTCATTAATACACGTGTAAATTAAAATACATGTATCAACTTTGATTTATGAATAAGTTTTAATCAGCGTGGTTACTGAAGTACCCTTTACTAGAATAGAATATAGAAGACAATTTTATTTTGAGTCGGGTTTACATGAACATTACAAACATAAACTCTATAGAGGTTTTTGCCGACATTAAGAACAATAGCAACACATACAGGATCATACAATATTAAGACAAATAAAACTCACACATGAGACTAATAAAACAAGACAGCTATATTCCATAAGCAAACTATTCCTTAATTCGTCTACAGAGCTGAAAGGCCATCAGAAGAAAATTCATTGAGTGGACGTTGCTACCGTCCAGTGGCAACTGCTTCCTGCATATTTAAGAGAAGAAAAGGAAGCACAAACTGAAGTAATTATGTGTTTTTGCAAATAAGACTTATATAGAAATGTAACAATCCGAAGATAAACCTTAACAAAAAAAAAAAAAACCCGAAAAGTAGGGGGGGGCTTACTACGTAATGAGTGGTAGAGATGAGCCGCTGGAATAGCTTCCTTAATTGAGCTTAAAAATTTATGATAAGGTTGAGAAATTGAGATGAAATATATCATAATGTTCCTAATTAAATAAAAAGTTTCTGAAACTAATCTGGTTTCGATATTTTTCACAGATGTAGTTCAAACCACAGTCGGAAATAAATAAGATATTTGTCAAATCTATTTTTCTCGCCATGAAATAGCGTATTCATGATAGCTTTAGCTGTACTTTTTGTCAACAAATATGTAATAGGTTATGTTTTTCTGTAATTCAAAGTAGATGACAAGGGTAGTGTATTGAATGTCTCAGCTGCTCATTACTACCAACAAATGATTGAAGTCCCCTCCCCCCGTCATGTTTACTCCTTTTTAAAGCAAATTCACAGGTTTTGCATTGTGAACTGTCGTAACAAATATAAAATTTCACAAATTCATAAAAGGCCAGGCCTGACGTTTTTCAAGAAAGACTATTGCTTTAAACGAAAGGGTGAGGTTGGTGACACGGGTTGCTCATTTCCCAAATCCCGCTGTTTTGTATATTTTCGACCTGCAACTATTTTCCTTCTTTTTGTCCTCAGATCTTACTCTTTTTTATACCACCTACCACCCACATCCCCACTTTTTTACTTTTTTATCCCTATATCCCACTTCCCAAGGGCCCATAATAAGTTGCTGTGCAAAGGGAGATAACAAACGTTTTGACAATATTTTTACTTGTATTATTAATGAAAATAATTATATCAGTCACTAATTGAAGTACTGTCCATGGTTGTACTTGTGCCGTCAATGGGATTCTTAGTTTATATAGTTTAATGAAGATACTAGTCAAATATGTTCAAATTGTGTATACAAGAAGTTCTTGAAAGATTATTATAAACAAAAGAAATAATTTTTATCACTGTATGTAAATTCTTTATATGTTTTTTTTGTCACCCTGTGAAATCTAACTTATTATTTGCCGTGGAGTGGGTATGTAGAATTATCTTTTCCAAATGTAAACAACGAAACAAATATTTTATTGAAAAATTGTATTTAGGTTTATCCTTTGGGAAAGTTCATATAAAATTCTGGGGTGCAATAATACGCCCCAATAAAACAAAACAAAAACCACAAAAAACCCACTCTTCCCTAAAAAACCATTCACCCCTAAAAAAAGTACCCAACAGCAACAACCTATAAAAAACAACAAACAAACAAAACAAAACCAACAAAACCAACAAATACTGCAATGCGGCTGATTATATGAACTTGATATATCTTCGTCATTTGGTGTCGTGGTGTATAATAGTTGTTTCATTGGCAATCATGCCACATCTCCTTATTTTGATATTGTTTAATTTCTTTTATTTCAAAATAATGAAGGGGTGATATTGTGCTGATATCGTTTAGACAATAAAGGATGATAAACTTTACGATGTTTAAAAATACATACACACACACAAAAATAAAACCCAAAAATTTATTCATTTACATGGATAAAGATGATCTTCTTCACAAACATGAACAATTTGCAACATTTATCAAATTTTCTTCAACATCAACCTGTAGGAAAATGTTTAAGTATTTTATTTGATATTGAAACAATCTCAAGTTGATTTAAACAACTTTTTTAAGTTTGACCCATTTAAGCGAAACAAATACAGGGAAATTGTCCCTACCTCTTTAAGAGGTAAATCCAAACAAAGCTATAAATTTGTTCATTACATTGAATAATAAAATTAGTTAGTTATTTGCTGACAGTAAACTTTAAGACATATATTATTCATATAAAAACAAAGAGACAGGGCCAATTACCCTTGAATTTGTTTCGGTAGTGTGGACAACACACCAAAAGAAGTTTGCGTGTACAACGTAATCATTCTAAAAAAATGACATAATAAACTGAAAACTATGGAGATTTATGCGAGCCATAATGATACCAAATCCAAAACCGAAAGTTCGAAAAGGCCTGATCTAGAGACATGTGAACGTTGAAAGCTTAATTATTCTAACAATCGTGCTCACGGGGAGTACTTACTATGTAATTAGTGGTAGGGATGAGCCGCTGGAATAGGTAACTTTTTCGAGCTTAAAATATTTGATAAGGTTGAGAAATTAAAATGAAATATATCATAAGGTGGCTGATTAAATATTAAATCAAAAGTTTCTAAAACTAATCAGATATTTTTCACAGATGTAGTTAAAACCACAGTCGGAAATACATAAGGTATTTGTCAAATCTATTTTTCTCGCCATGAAATAGCATAATCATGATAGCTACAGATGTATTTTTGTCAACAAATATGTAATAGGGTATGTTTTTTGTTATTCAAAATATATGAAAAGGGTGGGGTACTGGATGTCTCAGCTGCTCACCACTACTAAAAATTGACTGAAGTGCCCCCCTCCCCAGCAGTCATGCTTATTCCTATTTTTAAAGCAAATTCACAGGTTTCATCTGGTAAACTGTCGTTTCAATATAAAATTACACAAATGAATAAATAGCCAGGCCTGACATTTTCAAGAAAGACTTTTGCTTTAAACGAAAGGGTGGGGTTGGGGTGACACTGGGTGCTCTTTTCCCAAATCCCGTTTTGGGGTAATTTTTTTCAACCTTTATCTATTTTCCTTCTTCATCCAAGATCTTACTCTTTTGATCCCTTTATCCCACATCCCCACTTTTACCCCTATATCTTACACGGCTTTTGATATTGTGTGGGCCCATAATAAGTTGCAGTGCAAAGGAAGATAACAAAGGTTTTGCCAATTTTCTAACTTTTAATCAAACATTTGTAATTATTAATGAAATTCAATTGTAATTATATTTTTTTCTTTCTTTCAAATGTTTTCTGCTTAATGTACAATTATATTCACTAATTGAGGTACTGTCCATGTTTGTATCTGTGCCGTCAATGGGATCTTCAGGGGCGGATCCAGGGTTTTTGAAAGGGGGCGTAATTCCAGAAAAAGTAGCGATCAAAGGGTTGGGGGAGGGGGACGTACGGCCTCTTATGGATCCACCAATGCTCTTAGCTTAAATAGTTTCATGAAGATACTTCTCAGATATCCTAAAAATCTACTGGGTACAAGATGTCCTTGAAAGATTATTATAAACAAAAGAAACACTTTTTATCACTTTATGTAAATCCTAATATAAAATACAAATATCTAGGTGGGAAATCTATTTTATCATATGCCGTGGGTATGTGGAATTCTCTTTTCCAAATGTAAGCAGGGAAAAAACTGTTTACTCTTTTGAAAAAAAAATATATGAAGGTTACCTTTTCAAGTTTTGGGAAAGTTTATATAAAATTCTTTGATGCAATAATAACACACCCCAAAAAATGCAATG